CTAAGAGCACTAACACTTGAATATGCTCTCAAACTTGAGAAGAAGTGTCAACATTCTCGTTGAGGTTCTGCTAAACCTTGGGAAACAAATAAACATGCAGGTGTAAATTGGTTTAGAGCTTTTTTAAGTTGTCATCCAGAACTTGTTATAAAAAAACCAGAGGCAACATCAATTGGTCGAATCTCAGCATTCAACAAGTATAATGTAAATCTATTTTATAATAATCTGCAAAGTCTTTTAATTAAATACAAGTTTTCACCAAATGATATATGGAACGTTGATGAGACTGGTGTTACTACTGTACAAGTGCCAGAGCATGTTTTAGCCAAGAGAGGAGAGAGGCAAGTTGCTTCTGTTACAAGTGCAGAACGAGGTACCTTGGTAACAATGTGCAATGCAGTAAATGCAAGTGGATCCTCAATAACACCATTCTACATATTTCCACGTGTTCATTTTAAAGATTTTTTTTTGCGAAATTCAATTCCTGGTTCTGTTGGCACTGCCAACAAATCTGGGTGGATGGTGGAATCAACCTTTATGGAGTGGTTTAATCATTTTATAAAAAGTGTTCGACCATCTAAGGCAAACCCTGTGCTGTTGATACTAGATAATCATGAGTCTCTTATGTCAATTATCTTCATTGACTTAGCATCAGATAATGGTGTAATTGTTTTAACAATCCCACCCCATACATCACACAAACTGCAACCAATAGATATAACAGTGTATGGACCTTTCAAACGTCATTATAATCTTGAAATTGATAGCTGGTTGGTATCACATCCAGGAAAAATTGTTTCAATCTATGACATTGCAGAAATTTCTGGAAAGGCTTGGTCAAAAGTATCAATGCCAGTTAACATCATTAGTGGTTTTTCAGTATCTGGAATAAGTCCTTTTCAACCTGATCGGTGGAAGGATGATGATTTTTTTTATCTCAGGTTATAAATAGACCCAATCCTGAAACACTCAACATCAATCCAGAGTCATTAGAAATTATTAGACTTGATCCTGAAGCACTTAACATCAATCCAGTTTCAGTAGAAATTAATAGACCTAATCCTGTAGCACTCAATATCAAACCAGTTTCAGTAGAAGTTATTAAACCTAATCCTGAAGCACTCAACATCTATCCAGTTTCAGTAGAAATAAATATAAATGTTAAAGTCAACAAAAATGTTAGCAATACCCTAAATGTGGAAAGTATACGCCTTTATCCTTCTGCAAAAGCTCGTTTAGAAAAAACCAAAGGTGCTCGCAAAAAGCTCTCCTCTTCGATTCTAACTGATACTCCAATTAAAGAGGCTCTTTGAAATCAACAACTTCAGCAAAATTAAAAAAAACAAAACTTTTCTGAAAAACAAAAAGATGCTAAAAATAAACGTCAAAGGAAATCAAGAAAGAAATCAAGCAACTCAAAAACTCTAAAGTTTCCATTAATGACATATAATAATGATGAGGCTGATGATATTCTTGTTAAAAGAAATGATAATGTCAAAGATAGTTTAAATTTTTGTGGAGGTATTACAAATTATGATTTGTGTGCTATATGTGAAGAAATGGGTCGTGACAACGAAGTGTGGTACCGTTGCAGACAGTGTGCAAGCTGGGCACAAAAAGCTTGAACAAGTGCAGATAATGCCAGCCAATATGTTTGTGATTATTGTAATTTGATTATCTGATTGAGACTTCGGTCTAAAGTTGTATTAATTAATTCAGAAATATCAATGTCTCACTTCTTTCTTGTTTTTAAACTCCATTTATCACCCTAATTGCTTTGCATAATGTAACTTATTATGTGCAATTGTTTACAACTTTTATTATAATATACAATATACAAGGATAGTTAGTTAAGATATTATTCTTGTCTCCGAATTTATATATCGGCTATAGTTATTAGCGATAGAGATATTAATCTTTTTTATAAAAAAAAAAAAACTTTTTTTGTGGTCCATTCAGTACAAGGGTTGGTCCATTCAGTACAATGAACAGTACTGAATGGACCACTAAATAATTTGGTACGGGTCACATTTATCGCACATTTTGCCTATGTTCTGTTTGCGCAATGGTTTACAACTTTTAAGGATTGTTAGTTAAGGATTAATTTTGATAAAGCATTTCCGGAAATTATGCTGATACAGCAGTTTCACTGCAGCGATTTATTTCGACTTTCTAAGAATCGCCATAAACGAAAACCAATCAAATTTTGAATATTACATCACGTGATGTCGGCGGTAAAAAAAGCAAAAGCACGTTGTTTGTAAAGTGGCAAAGGAACAAAGATCTTTGTTCCTTAACCTTGCGTTCTTATTGATTTTCTATGAACTTACTCTAAACGTTGCCAAGCATTATTAAATTCATCAAATAAGGAGCAAATGTAAATTTTCACTCTGTCAATTCCAAAACTTAAACTTCATAAGAATGTTAAAGTTCTAAATAAAAAAATTGTTTAATGTTTAAAGAATCTTCAAGTAGCCACACGAAGATAAACCTTTTTGTG